GAACTGGGACAATATTATTATGACGCTTCTAAGCGAATTGAGAAAGAGTTGGATTAAGAGAAAGGGTTGAAAAGTTATGAAAATACACTAAATTATTTATTGTGAAAAATATATCATACGTTTGAATGTCTTTTATACCAGATCCGAATTTATCCAGGTATTGCAGCGCGATTAATTAGTGAGGGGCTAAATCTGGACAGTCACTGCCGTTTTGTCCCACTTCTACGTATTAAGTTTCAAAAGGGATTGTAAACTTGGACAGTAAATTATTAAATACATATCTATTATGTCCAAGTACTGGTTCCAAAATTCGTTTTGTCCCAGTACTACTTCCTTTACCTTGTATCACACATATCACTATACATGACACGTCTAACTACGGCACTGACGGACTGGACGCCCAACCGCGACGATGAATATTATCGTAAATTATCGAGGTATGCATATAGATATTCATATTGAATGGTTTCTTTATCAGAAATGTCTGTTGAATCCAATACTGTGTAGCAAATTCTTGCTAGACAAAAGGATTCTCACATAAATATAAAAATAGTACGTGTCAGTTCTTTTTCGAACGTCAACAATTATTTACAACTATTAAGAAGTACGAATACCAAAAATGGTTTACATAGATATATTATGGAAGGTCTCCTGTATCTTTTGATTCAAAAATAAACTTCCTCGCCTTCCTAGTTTTCATGTAATACTTGGTTCTTCTCGAAAGTCATGCATTCTTACAAAAAGCATGATTTTTCGGAAACGGTACGTGATAGAGCAATTCTGTTTCCAGATTCGTGTTTGTCACAAGAAACTCCATAGGAATCACGTGATGGATGTTGCAAAAAATGTTTTGTATTGTACAGTGTAATCCACAAGATAATATAATAAAACAATATCTGAAAATGGACAGTAGCTATGAAAAAACAAAACAAATAAAATTTGAACAACGAAAAATGATGAACTAAAAATAATTACAATTTTTATAATGATCATAACACCAGATTTTATGGATTTATACAAAAATTGTATCGGAATATGAAAAATGTTTGTTATGTTGAAAAATGTACAAAATATTCAAACATGCCTATTACAACGTTTAGATGATGAAAGAAATGTCTATTTAGAATGCATTTCTTAATTGAATATTTTATTTGGTATAAAAATCCGAAATCTAATCGTCAAGACAATTTTCTCGAAAGTCAATACGATCAAACGAATGCAAATAAGAGAAAGGAAAATGAATGCGACTGAATAATAAAAACTGATGAAATAAGAATAATTAATTAATACCTCCAAGGACGAAGCAGGAAACGGTAGAAATAAATCCTGATAGGAAACTGTTGAACGGGAACGTGCCGACGAGGCAACAGTACACGAACTGAATGACGCCCGTTAAAAACACATAAAGCAGGTAAACGTCGATTATTTTAAGCCTTTTCGGCGTACTTTTCGTGTACACTTGCCAGAACTTTTCAATTACTGCCAACGCGGTCATTTTTTATCAATTAATTGAGCACGGCTGTGGGGTGACGTTTCGAGGTTAGAATTAAAACTCGTACGCGTGGCACAGTGACACCGGCTATGACCGCCACGACTTATATACAGATTNGTATAAAAGTTCTTCGCTAGCATTAATAGTTTACGAGTTATTGACGAAAAACGAAAAAACAGTTTTTTGCAAATTACTCGTTAATTATTGATGATAGCGAAAAGTTTTTATACAGAAATTATAGATCTCGTCGTCCTCTACAAGAAAGGTCATATGCAATTTTTCCGTATGTCCAACGGTTTGGGAGTTATTGGCCAAAAACGAAAATTTGGAAGAACCCCTTGGAAAAGTCTCGGAAAAGTCGACAATTTTTTGTTGTTGTTTATTATTAGCAATGCTCTTCCGACGTCTGATTTCTTTTAAAAAATGTGTTTCTAAAGTGCATAAACTTTTGGGATTTACTGTATAGCCAATACATCCTTAAAGTAAGTATGAGCTCAATAAAAAGGAAATTCAGTCTTGAGATAAATATCAAAATGAGGTCTTTTAAAGGTGATCCATTTATGACTATTATTGAGACAGGTCAGTATTTAATAATGAATTGTTTAAAATAATATTTCGAACAAAAGTTGTTCGGTTTCGAGGTCATCGAATAATGACGTTGCATTTTTTCAAGTGGTGGCCTAAAAGTAATATAGAGTGCAACTTTATTGTTTTAAATGGGAACTCCCAATTTTATTTTCGAGAAAAGTAAGTCATTTTTGTCCCAATCATTTTTCAGTTAATTATTGACTTCTTAAGATAAATCATTAAATAGTAAGTAGTTGAACGAACAAATTAAGAAGAAAAAGTTGTAACGATAATTTGAACATTCTGCGTCAGGATTAACCAGTTAGCTGTCGTGACCTCTTTGAAAAATGTGTACCTAAATTACACTGCAAAAAGTAAGCAAAAAAGATTCATACTATATATAGTTCTTTCATAATAATTAATAAAATATTTTTATGTGTTCCTTTTAATACATATTTAGTATATATAATCCAAATATTTTAAACGTCTTGAAGTTTACGAATATATTTTAGGTTTCACTAAAATTGCCATTTAAACAGCAAGTTGTAACAATTTTTCATGTATGTCGAGTATACTCGTCATAACATAAAATATTGCTATTATTTCACGACAAGTATATTCGTCATAAAATATTGTTATTTCTTCATGACGAGTATATTCGTCATAGCACGAAACATTGCCATTTCTTCACGACGAGTATATTCGTCGTAACACAAAATATTGCTATTATTTCACGACAAGTATATTCGTCATAAAATATTGTTATTTCTTCATGACGAGTATATTCGTCATAGCACGAAACATTGCCATTTCTTCACGACGAGTATATTCGTCGTAACACAAAANTTCGACAAATACTTCGAATATAAGTTGCAGGTGATACTATTACCTATGAAAAATTTGAAATCACTATAATTTTAGCTTTTTAATAGTAATAGGAATCTATATAATAACAAATTCAACATGTTAGCATTGTTTAAGTATATAGCCTATACATCCTTATTTCGTATACGTAATCGTATGTCACGGAATATTCCTTTGTGTGTCACAGTTCTTCGACATTCTGCAATCTTTGTGAATTTTTATTTAATATAAATTGTGAATGAAAAAATTTGGAAAAATTCTCATATGTGTATCACTCATATAGTAGAACGTCTCTGAATTTTTTCATAAATTTTGATTTACTAGAATCGGAGAAATTAAATTCCAGAAATATTAAAAATCGTACTCTAAGAGATATCCTCTTAAATCTGGAAATATTTGAAATTCTTTACAAATACTATAAATTGTTATTTAATATACATAATATAAATAATGAATGGAAGAATTTGAATTAAATAGTCTAAAATCTTGAGGAATATTACTGGACGAAAACACGTGCTGAGAAGCTCCTTAGGAAAGTAACATCGAGCATCTCCTCTTTCCTCCTCTGTTATCATATTCGTGACATTCTAAATACAATTCAAAGTGACACAAAACAAGACTACTGTGAAGTTATCGAGACTAGAAGTGATTAATGTGAACATGTTGACACAAAACATGATTAATGTGAAGTTATCGAGACCAAAAAATTACATTTAAGATAGCTCACTATTTGGGTAATCAAGAGAAGGCCCTACAATGGGTTTATTTTAAAATAATACTATGAAGTGAAAATTTCATTATTAAATGTATATTATCATTTCTACATTTACATATTTTAATGTTATATTATAAAATAGTATAAACAAAGTAAGATAAACAACTTTTTATTTACGACTGGGGTGATGATGAGATTATAAA